AAGGGCTGGTGGTACCTGTTTTAATTGTGTATTATGTGTTTGGATACCTATATGTACATCTATGTATCTATAAGAGGAGGTATGGCCATAAGGATAGAGAGCTGGTCTTAAGACCAGAGACCTATATTCTAGTCCTGCCTCTGAATGTATAACCCTAGACAAATCACTTAGCCTATCAGTGTTCTAGGTAAATCCCTAGAACTTTAATATCCAGAGAAGGTGCCGACCTGCATGGGTAGAGGAAATGTCTTCACCCAACAGCTCTTTATAGCAATGAAATCACGGATCGATTCAGTCACTAAATAAGGAAAAACCTTATATGTTTTTAAGATAGGTTTGTTTTGAACATTCTACATTGGAGATCCTGTAGTTTTATACGTAGCTTTTGGAAGTATGTGTACCACTTTTAATAATGCCAAAGGGTACTTTCTGCCAAAACCCACTTTGTTAATATCATGACTCTCACAGAGGTGCCACATTGCTGCAAGTCAGGGAATGTCTTGATCTCCAACAAATTAGCAACCCTCATCCCTCATGCCGACAACCCTTGATGAGAGTTGAGGATCCTTTAGGATGACAAAATGGACAATCAAATCTTGCAGTGACCGAGCAAAATGCATCTCTCCAGTGTTCAATCTTGTTATTAAGAGTGCGATAACATGATGTATGTCAAGTGTGAACATACGGAAGCATATGGTCAATAACAGATGAGGCGCATACCAGAAATAGCATAGAAAAGAACATCAATGATTTAATGAGCTAATATTCATACAGTCCCAAAAGTCTCGGTGCAGTTTTATACCCTGGATGTCAAGCACTGTGAACCTTAAAACTCTACATAAATTGGCTGCTAGGTGATGAAGTGGATAAAACATTAGACTTGGAGACCAGAAGACCTGCATTCAAATCCTACCTCAAATTTTTCCTATTCTATAACCTTGAGCAAATCACTTACCCTCTCTTGGCCTCAGTTTCCCCATCTGGAAAATTGAGATAATAGTAGCACCTGCCTCAGGGTGGTTACGAGGATCAAATGAAATAAGACATTCAAAGTACTATATAAATGCTAGTGATTGTCATCATCATCATCATTATAAATGCTAGTTGTTATTTTTATTATCACACATATGGGTGACCAGGAAATGAAAAAAGTTACGAATAAAAGAACAGTCTCCAAGTTGCACTGGTATCTATAAAATATTAGAAGCCCCAGAGAATGGCCTGCAGCATACTGGGTAGTTTCCCCTATGGAGAACTTAGAAAGAAACCACATAAGAATGGTGTGAACAGTTTGCTTTCTTTCAATGGCGAAATCTCAGTAGTATCTGTGAGATTGTAGATCCAATGAATAACTGAAGCAGGTCTTCTCTGTTCTTAGAGCCTTAGCTGCCTTGACTTTACTTACTTTCATTTTTAATATTCCAGGATAACAATTAATTTCTAAGGTCTTTTTAAAAATGTTCATTCACTGTCTCATTATTACTACTTCCTGACAAGATATGGCATTAATAAAGACTGAGAATAAACAAGCGTGGATTTTCTGGGGTTTGTGGGACTTTAGAAGAAGTGAAGGAAAGAACAATCACTTAGTCATTTTGCTTTTAAATGTCCATTATGTCAGGAACTGTAGCTTTGCTCGCTTCCCAGATGTATTATAATGATTCATGTGGGGTTAGTCATTTAAAAAAAAATAGTAAAGCACCCTGAAGACCTCCAGGAAAAAGAGTTCTATAAATGAACATAATCATTATTATAATTTTCTCAACTGTAAAACACAGAGAGAAAATACCTATTCGCTTCCCAGGGGTATTGTTGGGATTAATTAGTTAATGTTTACAAAGTAGTCTCAATACAGGAAAAAAAAAATTACCCTCTGTGATTTGCATTTTCTCACCTCTCATAGTAATACAGTGGGGAAAAGCACTCAGACTCTGATTCAGAGTCAGAGTACCTCAGTTTGAATCCTGACTGTGCCTTCGACTACCTATGTGACCATGAGCAGTCACATTTCTTCTCTGGGCCTCAATTTGCTCATTTGTAAATAACTTCTAAGGCCCCTTCCTACTCTAGAGATGCAATTCTAAGTATATTATAGTACATTTGTATTTCTCAGATCACTCCATTCCTTCCTACACTCTGGTCTCTCCTCCAGGTCTTGGAATCCACACAGAGTTTTGCCCTTGAGACAGCAAATGATATGAGAGATAGAGTATTGGCCTTGAAGTCAAGAAGTTCAAATGCTGCCTCACATGCTTTCCACCTGTGTGAACCTGAACCAGTCACTTGACATTTCTTAGTTTCAGTTTCCTTGTCTGTAAAATGAGAATAACAACTACTTCATAGAGTTGTTGTGAGTATCAAATGAGGATACATACATATACACACACACACACACGTATATATACACATGTGTCTGAAATATATGTCAAAGAAGAATATATGTTTCATGCAATAAGTAATATAAAATATATATTTTCTCACTTGATCCTCACAATTCCCTATATAGCGTGTGTATATATTGTGTATACACAAATGTACATGTGTATACACAAATGCATATACACACATAGTTATGTATGCATATATAATTTATATAGGTATATATCCAAATAGATAAAATCTCATCTTCAAACTTTAAAGTTCTATATACATGTTAGCTATTATAATTACTATCATTATCATTGTTATCATCATCATTATTATTATTATTTCTGCAACGTAGAGAAAGTTAACAAAGACCTTATATCTTTTCTCTTCTTCTCAAGGGGAGCTAAACCCTCTGTCTTTCCCAATTTTGTCCTCCATTTGTGTTTCTAGTTTGGAAGACTGAATTTTACTTTATCATTCAAATGTGATTTTTTGCCAGAGCCCAAGTGTTTTCCGTTTTACTTCTGGTCAGCTCAGAATTGGTGTGATCTTACATTTTCATTGTTCCTTCCTTGCTGGCCACAGGTGGTTTTGCATGGCTTTGCACCAATAAATCCATCTAATAGTCCAACAGAAGAGCCAGGGGTCAGAATCCAAGACAGGCAGAGGGTGCTGTGTGGTTTCCATATCTATTTGTTTTGCTCGATGTTATTTGGAGTCGTGGAAATTAAAATGTAGTCCTCCTGGTGGCGGATAGATTCCCCAATGCCCATTCTAGCACTAAGCCTTGAATAAATGTGACCCTTCCCCATTCAATGTTACCTCTTCATTACTAGCTTGCTACTCTCCTTTCAGTGGATTACAGCTGGGACTTCTCAGTTATTGATCCTTTTTTTTTTTTCCTCTCTCATTTCCAGTGATTGTGTAATAGCCCTGGGGTAGCTGTACTGTCTTCATTCTAACATCCAGTTAACTAACTGGTGTCTGAGACCCAGGGCTAAGTCAGAAACTCAACTTAAATGAATGCCAGGCTACCATCTCCAGACTTTGCTTTCCTTACCTGTCCCAAAATAGTTTAGAGAAAACTGACTCTTTGGTATTTTATTTAATGAAGACAGATAGATTGATTCTATGACTTCTACCCAAGCCCTAGTGACCACGTTCCTGTCTTGTTTAGGAGATAGGACCACCACAGAGAAAAAAAATTTAGCAATGACCTTAGATAAAATGTCCAACTTGGATTCAGGGAGACCTCAGTTCAAATCTCACTCTTGAAACCTAACATGACCATGGCCAGGCCACTTAACTTTGCTGGGCCTCAGTTTTTTCTTCTATAGAATGGGAATCACAGGGTCATAAATCCAGAATTGGCAGGTGCCTCATATGCAATCTGGTCGAGTTCCCTCACTATGCAAAAAAGGAAACTGAAGCCTGGGGACTTGCCAAAGATCCCAGAGGTAATAAAGGCAGATCAAACACATTTAAGGCAGATTTTGAACACATGTCCTTTGACACCAGGTACAATTTTTTTTTCCATTATACCATACTTCCTCAGAAGGTTATTGTGAACATCAAATGAGTTGACTCATATTAAGTTCTTTGCTATCTTTAAAGCATTATAAATATTTGTTATAAATACATTACAAAATAAATATATTATAATCTAAAACATTAAATGTCAGTAAGGATGACAGACAATAAATTCAAGGTTAGGGAAAGTCAAGTAGGATGGCCAGGGAATAATTAATTACCAGATTGTGAACCCTCCTTTGGAAAATCCCTAAATTAGATAGTTTTTGTTTATCTCCAGCCTGCATTTGGCTCCTTCAAATTTCTATCCATTGTTCCTAGTTGTGCAGTTTAGAGCCAAACTGAACCAGTCTAATCCTTTTTCTTTATCAACACTTCAGATACTTGAAGATATCTACATTTTCCTACCCCACCCCATCCCAAGGATCCATACCTCCTCCAGGTGAAATATTCTTAGTCCCTTCCATCAACCCTCCAATTTCATGATCCTAAAGGCCTTCACCACCCTGGTCTTGTTCTGTTGTGCTATATGATAAAATAGTGGTTGATAGTGAAGATAAAGAGTATACCACTGATCCTTTCCCTTGTCCCACAAACTAAAAATGATCAAAAGAGCTGCTTTAAATCCTAATCAAGTAAATATGGAGAGTTTGAGGTCAAGTTAAAACTTTTGCATAACCAAGCGTTTTGATGATCCAATTGTGTACTGAAACATTCATGGTGTTCAAAAGGAAAACAGTCAAATTTGGGTTTGGGGGACCTATTGAATGAAATTGATTAGATTTAAAACCTTCACAATGCCCATGGTGTAGGGGGAATAATCCAAAGATGACGTCCTTGAGTGATTAGAAAAGTATTTTCAAAATTCAAGACTGCTGGATTTTTTTTTTTCTGAGGTTGGGGGGATGGAAGTTTTCTAAACTGATAAAGCATTTCACAAGTTTAGGAGAACCCTTAATATGTAATAGAAATATAATGCCTGAGGCTATAGAAACATATCACATTTTTATTTACCTTTCTAAATGTCCCAAAGCTAAATTATTGGATTTCTTCCGGGTCCTGACAGGTACTTCCTGGAAAGTAATATAATATTCCTTTTACAGTGTGTTAGTTGAGAACTGCAAAGACAAGGAAATAAATATGCCTGAATGAAACAGCGGTCTGTGAGAGATGCCCTTTGCTGTCTTGGCCTCAAGGTATGTGAAGTAACTTTTTATATATTGCTTTAACTTCTCAAGCCATTAAACTATGAATGGGGATGTACACCGAGACACCCACCCCTACAGAGTAGTACATAGCTGACTATTTTTATGGGTTTTATATTATAAAATGTCAATGCCTTTGTATCCATGTGTCAGTGGATTGAATCTTTTAGTGATGAAACAATGTCATCTTTGCTGGTGTCTAAAATTAAAAAAAAATATTGACACGTATCTGTAACTATCAATGGCATTGTGGCTGAATGTGTGTGCACGTGTGTGTGTGTGTGTGTGTGTGTGTGTGTGTGTATGAAAACAACTGATGTATTGCCAACATTTCTTTTCACAATTAACATCCATGCAAATAATGACTAACCTTTAGTGTTAGTAATCTGTTAAAGTATTTTCCCATTTTAAAAATATTTCCTTTAAAACATATGTACATTTTAAACACTTAAAAATTATATTCCCTGATATATTTCACCCTGCCAACTCCATTAAACCCTCTCTTGTAACAAAAGGAAACTGTCAACTAAAATCATCAACAATTCAGACAGGTCTGGTAGTGGGTGCTACATTTCGTGCAAATAGTCCCTCATCTGTCTAGAAAGAGGAGGGATCTATGTTGCATCCACTGTTCTCTGGGACCAAGGTCATTCAGTGCAATTAATCTGAAGGTAACTGCTTCCTAGTGTTATTCCCATTCCCTTTATTACACTATTTGTGTCTGCTGTTTTGCTGGTTCATCATATTTCATTCTGTATGTATGTCATTCATACAAGATTTCCCGTGTTCTTAACTCTTCATTTTCATTGTTTATTTTATAGTTCATAATAGCTCATTTCATTTGTAGACCACAATTTGTTCAGCCATTCTTCAATTGTAGGAGCACCCACTTTGTTTCCATATTTTTTGCTGCCATAAAATGTATTGCTATAAATAGCTTGTTATATATGGTTCCTTTCTTTCTATCATTGGTCTCCTTGGGGTTTGTGTCTGGTCTAGCCTAGATCTCTGGGTTAAGAGTTTCAAACACTTTAGTGTCTTTTCTTGTATAATTCTAAAACATTTTCTAGAACAGTCAGATGAGTTCACAGCTCCACCAACAATGTATAAATATGCCTGTTCAGAGGTCCCCCCCCCCCCAGATTGGCAGCCTGACTCAGTTTCAGAGGCTAAGAAACACCTCCTCTCTGATTACTAGTTTATCTGTTGTTTACTATTCTTACCTAGTATCTTATGAGAGTGCTCGTAGCTATACGGTCTAACTCTGGAAGGTCTTTTAGAGTTTTCAACATTTTCTATTGTTTTTAATATTAATAATTATTAACATTCATATAGCATACTAAGGTTTATGAAGTGCCTTACAAATATAGCATTTATTCTTACAAGAACCCTAGGAAGGAGGTGCCTTTATTGTCCCCATTTTATGGATGAGTAACAGTAAGTTTCTAAAGTAAGATTTGAACTCAGGTCTTCCTTATTCTAGATCTAGTTGCCATTAGAAGTTGCTATGTTTTCATCTCGTGGGAAAGCAAACTACAACATCATTCTCTGAGAGGTTTGCAGTAATCTTAAAGTGAAGCTCTCACCAGGTTCACTCTGTCTACCTGGTTCCAAATTTTCTTCTGAAAGAACATGCTACCACACGGTTTAAAAGAGTGAAACCTCCCTGTGAGAATCAAATACTACCTTCCATTGCTCTGGTTCCCTTCCTAGGAAGATTTTTGAATGTATCTCTATTGTATGAAGCATGTTTTAAGGCAAGTGCTAGATCTACTTTAAGACTTCCTGTTCCAAGTTTGATAAGTGCACAAGTCTTCCAGTGCAAGTTTTGTTTTGTTTTGTTTAGTTTTCCTAAAGGAAAAATAGTTCCATGAATGAAACTGACACTATGCTTGATGGCACTGGGACTAATTGTGGTCATTGCTTTGCAATCATTTTCTATAGAATGGATAGATTGTTATTGGGATTATAGTCCTAATAACATACATTCTCATTTAGAAGCCCTGAACCATCTAGATACCACCTACCTTTCTGTGCTGGAAGTCCGTTATGACCATATACTTACTTTCCCTCTCACCAAAGGTATAACAAGAGGTGGCATATAGACAGAGACTTAAATGGAATTAGACATTCTAAGAGGGAGGAGTTTCCATCTTTGATATAGAGGACAGTGAGGCTGTGCAAAGGTGATGCGAAGGGGGCTGGATTTGTATATTCAGGAACAGCATCTAGGCCAATTTGTCTGGAATGTGTTGTGAATAATGTTAAATAAGCCTGGAGCTGGCTTGTATGGGGCTTTGACATCTTGAGGAATCTGTACGTTATCTTAATGGCAGTAGGAAGCCACTAACACTTTTTGAGCAAGAGACTAACGTGGTGTACTAGGAGAGTTATTTGAGCAGTGCAGTGGGGAGCGAAGAAGAGACTGGATGGACCTAGGTCTTTGTCTTCTTACATTAGGCGACCCAATGCCTCGACTGCTGCTTATAATGTCAGGTGGCTGTGTCTATGCTCTTCCTTGCTAGTCATATTCTTTACATATAACGTTGGTTCCTGTTATAACCAGAGCTTTCTTTGCAAGCTGCCCCACTGTCCCCATATCCTCCTAATTCAAAACCCACAGATCCTTAGAAGACAGTTGGTGGTAAATTCCAGAGACCTGTGTCTCTAGGCTTGTTTGTGTTGATCTGATTTCCTGTTCCTGCTAACTTGATTAAGAGAAATGACCCTTATTTGTGGTGATAAATGAAGGATCAGTGAAATCAACCACATAAAGGTGGCAAATTGTGTCAGATTTATGAATCATTAACTGTGAGGTGTTCAACACGGCAGGCAACCACAGCCAAAGGTAAGACGCTACAGATTTCCATGAGCTGCCTGGAGAAGAGATGTCAGCCTGAAGGAATCAGGAAAGGATCTTTGGTCCATGGCTGCAGAGACATAGGATCACTATGGTAACAGAGCACTGGGTATTAGAAGGAAATGTGTGCTGTGAGAGGGTGAGAGGGAGATGATGGGAAGTGAGTAGAAAGAGTTGGTCAGAAAAGCCGCAAAGAGTATGAAAGCAATATCTAGGTTTCGGTTCCTCTTCCTTCAGTTAATTCAAAAGTTGAGTCACTCATCAGAGCCAAATTAAAGGGCAAGAATTAGACTTTGCTGCCAGACTCTCCTGGTTTAATCAGACTCTCTATTTCATCTTCGAAGAAGGTCTGAGGGAGGCTATGTTCTCTTTCTGCACAAAACATAATCAAAGTTTTGAGTAAATGCTTCTGGGATGGTGGGCATCAATCAGGAAAGAGTTTTTGAACATCCTCCACATGGACCATAGTACAGTAACTGTAAAGTAGGTTTTAATTCAATAAATTTAACAAATATTTATCAAGTACCTATCTCAGTGCTAAGGATTGGAGTACAAGAAAAGCAAATGCTTCCTTTCCTCATTGAATTTACATTCTACTGCAGTTGGAGTCTTAGCTGTAGTACTAAATACGTAACCTTTCTGAGCTACAATTTCCTCATCTATAATATGACAAGTTAGGATTCTACGATCATCTCTCCTAGCTTTGGGATTCTGAGATTCTTTCACTTCATTTAGAGAAGTCCTCTGCTAGAACATAGGAAGCCTTTGCTAATTCCTCCTAACTCTGGTGCCTCTCTTCTGTTAATCATTTCTCATTTATCCCATAGATAGCTTATTTGTACTTATTCATTTACTTGTTGTCTCACCTATTTGATTGTAAGCTCCTTGAGAGCAAAGACTATCTTTTGCCTCTTTTTTTTTTAATCCCTAGCACTTAGAACAGTGCCTTGCACATAGTATGTGCTTAATAAATGTTTACTGAGGGATTGATTAGGGGTATAGATGTCAGTAATACATGTGGAAAGAATAGTGGAATTGGAATCAGAAGACCTGGGTTTGAATCCTGGCTCTTTTATTAGTATTACAGGTTGGGGCATATTACTTCAACTCTTTTGGTATCAGGATTCTTGTTTGACAAATGAGAGAGTTGGGTAAGATGAGTTCTAAGGTGAATGGAGCTTTGAGATTCTATGAGTGCCACCTAGATCAGCAGGTATCTTATTGTACTTGGACAACTTTTACATGTTATACTTATATCTTGTTTCAGTCAAATTTGTAGCCACAAGCATGTACCCTAAAAGATCTATTACTTCCACAAAAGTACTTCATGAATGCAATCCCTGTACACTTTGGCCATCATGTCATGTATTGCACTGATCATAAAAATTTAAAAAAAAACCAAAATACTCATCATTTGGGTCCAACCTTCCGGTGACAAAGCCCTTCTAGATTGACCTTGTTTAATCCTAGAGCAAAAGACATGTCCCTGGGTCATACTTGATTCCCTTTCAGTTTTTAGGCCATCCCAGAACTTAGAATTTGTTGGCTTACTCTTTGAGAACCCAAGGTCACTCTTTAACCACCATGAGGCTGTGACTGGGATAGGACTTTAGTGGAGGAATCTTTCAAGTTAGACAGCTTGGTCCTTGGCCTTCCAACATATTAGCCATCATGGGTCCTGATGGCCCACTACTGTATTCTATCGTGGTGTTAAGGAAGTAATCCTGCATTCCTAAATGAGATACTAACAGTACAAATTCTTTAGATCTTCCCAAGCTGTAAGGGTGTTGAGTATGGGTCCAGCAATGGATTGTATTTTGCTCATCCAAGATCCAAAACGAAATGGGGATATTGACACCATAGGAAAAAAAAAGGGCTACTACATCCTTGTCTATAAGTATTTAAGGACTGTCATGTGGAAGAGAAATTAGATTTGTTCTGTTTGGTGTCCTATGAAATGACTAAGAATAGTGGGTATAAATTGTAAAGAGACAAATGTAATAACAATAACATGTTTATGTTGTATTATTTTAGGGCGTGTGAAGTGCTTCATATATGTGCTTATTTGATCTTCACAACAACCCTGTGGGGCAACAATGATTACTATGTCCATTTTTACATATGAGGAGAC